GCCACACTTACACACACACACACACACACACACACACACACACATTAAAAATAATAATAATGATTAAAAAAAAGAAACAGGGGGCTGGAGAGATGGCTCAGCAGTTAAGAGCACTGACTGTTCTTCCAGAGGTCCTGAGTTCAATTCCCAGCAACCACATGGTGGCTCACAACCACCTTGAATGAGATCTGGTGCCCTCTGCTGGCATGCAGGCAGAAGACTGTATACAAAAAAAAAAAAAAAACTTAAAAAAAAAAAAAAAAAGAAAGAAAGAAAGAAAAGAAACAGGTAGATCTCTGTTTTGGAAGCCAGCCAGGGCTACACAGAGAAACCCTGTCTCAAAAAGCAAACAGAAAGTCAAGAAGAAGAATAGAAGGAGGAAGTAGATGTGGAAGAGGAAGAGGAGGAGAAGAAAAGAAGATAGGATCTCACGCAGTCCAGGCTGACCTCCAACTCTTTATGTGTCCAAGGCTGACTCTGAACTTCTGACCCTCCCAGCTCTCCCAAATGCTGGGACTATAGGGCTATAGGCACTATAACACCACACTGGGTTTTATATGCTGCTAGGGATCAAATCCAGAAGTCCATGCATTCTAGGCAGGCAACAATACCAACTGGGCTCTAGCCTGGGCCCAGAGAAGCTTCTGGAACTTTTTTTCTCAGTTTCCACCCTGGTTTTCCATGGTCTTTGAGGCAAGTCCACTACCTTGCTCTTGGACTCAATTCTCTTCTCCTGGCACATTACTAAAACTCAAGTGGAGGTCACAGGAGAGTGAGTCATGGTGGTGTTGAATATGGCTGGTGAGGTGTGTGTGTATGTGTGTGTGTTGTTCACAGTTGGAGTTAGACAAGCCGTGTGCATCCCCACTCTTTGCCCATGCCTCCATTTGACTGACAGCCCTGGCTTAGCTGGAACGGTGTAGCCCAGGAGGGGACAGCTGGGAAGGCTGGGTCAAGCAGGACAGGCCACAGCAAGCCCAGCATCCTGGCAGGGGACACATATTAGCCCAGAATCCAGCAGTTCTGTGGGCCCAGAGGCTGTATATCACAGAGGTTTAACCAGCAGTGTGGCACATAGTTGTCTCCTCTCTTGAGCCATGTCCCTGTCTGGTCTGTTATAAATTGCACTGAGCTTTCAAAATATCCCTGTCCCCTTGAGCTCTTCCTGGACAGCTAAGAAAGTCTCATTCCTTTGAGGTCTCCACCTGGCCCTCGACACCTGGGCCACCTCTTCTAACTCTGGCAACTGGGACCTCCTTCTTGTCTCCTGCTAGAGAGTGGAAGAAGAGTTGGAGAAGACAGAAGAGCTATAGGGCCTGCCATCTATGGGCAAAAGATGGTTAAATTTTAGTGGAAGACTCCATGTAACACTGTGGACCTTCTCACAAGGTGATGAGAGTGACCTCCTGTGTGTCTTCTGTGGGGAAGGCAGCATTCTGGGTCCCTGGCAAAATTGCAAAGGGACAACTTTGATGCCTCCTGCATTTAGGAAAGTGGTGTAGCCCTGTTCAGGGTAGCAAATGGAAGCAATTGCTGGTACCTCAGCCCCAGGGTACCACCCTGCACCCAGAATGGGAACTTCAAAATTCTCAGGCATCTGTGGTTATATGAGGTTCAAACCCACAGTGTATTAGTTTGGTAGCATAGGGATAAGAGAACAACACAAAATGGACAAGAGAAATTGATTGCCTCACAGATGTGGGTTTTCAAGGCTGCTGCCTTTGAGGATTGTGAAGGGGCTCTGTCACATGTCATTCCCCCAAATTTCAGAGGCTATCTGGTAATCTCTGGGATCCCTCAGCTTGTAGGTGCATTGCCTGATTTCTGTATCCATCCTCACATGAACCTATGTGCAGTCTGTGATACCACACCCCTCAATACTGGATTCACCTGCTGGGTGATTGATCATTCCTAGAGAGGCATAAACAAATGTCTGCTCACCTTGGATAGAGCACCAATAAAAGACAGAGCAAAGACATTATTCTACCCAAGTGTAGCTGAATGAACCAGCGAGGTTATCGGGGTTTCTTATAGAAGTATGGGCAACTGCGTCACTGAGATGGTCAGTCCCAGCATGGTGATGGCTCAGGAAAACTGTATCCCACTGTCTGATGGGAAAACATCCTCTCCCCAGAGCTGCTACTGCTTCTACAACTTTGGGGAAAACCTGGTGGGTCTTGGGAGTTTTAGAAGTTTTCTGAGCCTTGTAATTTTGCCAATTTTTTAAGGTTTTTATTTTTATTTCTTATGTATACAGTGAGCTGTCTGCATGTTTGCCTGCAGGCAAAAAGAGGGGATCAGATTCCACTAGAGATGGTTGTGAGCCACCATGTGGTTGCTGGGAATTGAACCCAGGACCTCTCTCTGGAAGATGAGCCAACGTTTTTAACCTCTGAGCCATCCCTCCAGCCCAAGTTTTGTCAACTTTCTGAGTCCCATGAGCCAGCCTTTCTTCCCTCCAGGAGGGGGTGTTTCAATTTAAAGGAAATTACTACACAACACCACCCTACACTGGTCCAGAATTTTCCAGTCACCTTAGCTCCAAACACGATTTCTGCCTAACACATCAAATGTGGGAACAGAGACACGATTTAACCCGTAACACATAGGAAGCCTCAGACATTCAACAATAGTTGGTGATGTGAGCACAATGGCAATTACACCATGTAAATGTAATACACAGAGCTCCTCTGTGACAAGCACTCGGGGTGAATGAGATGGGTTCACCTTAGCCACCCATAGTGAACAGGGACATTTGCAGTGACCTAACACATCACAGCTGACATGCAGGCCAGAGCTGACAGCGACTCTAAGCCAAGTCACTCTTCCACCCACCCACAGTCTCCACATGAGTAATGACAGACATGTATCACATGGACCACTGTCCACAAAAACACCAAACAGTTCTCGGAGAACATTAAGGAAACATATGCAGGTTCGTGGCCATGGACTTGGGTAATCAATCTCCTCTTCAGATGTGGAGCCCACTAGATGTGTGCTCCTGGGAGAACCTTGTAGTATTTCTTGACTGAACTGCTGTGTGGAGTGAGACTAAAGACGCAGGAAGTGACCTTGAGGGAGAAGTATTAGCTTTCTCCAGCTGCTGTCACAAAGCGCTGCAAGACAGGGGCTTAAACAGCGGAAATGTGTTGTGTCTTAGTTCTGGAGCTAAAGGCCTGAGTGATCATGGTGTCACATGGTTGGCAGTAACAGTGGTGGCTTCTCTTCTTACTTACAATTTTCTTTAATTAATTCATAGACAGGGTCTGGTGTACCCTAGGTTTGTCCTCACACTCTCTATGTAGCTAAGAATAACCTTGAACTTCTCATCCCTCCAAGTGCTGGGATAACAGGCCTGTGCCACCGATGCTAGGTCTATGCAGTGTTGGGGATTGAACCTAGGACTTCCCTTGTGGTGGGCAAGCAACTCTATCAACTGAGCTACAGACCAACCTTCTACTCTTTTAGTTTAGTTTTGTTTTTTTTTTAAGACAACATTTTGCTATGTAGCTCAGGCTGGCTTCCAGCTCCTAATCTCCTGCCTAAGCTTCCACTAAAGCTGGGATAACAGGTGTGTGTTATACCCAGGCTCAGGGTTGATTTCTTCTGAAATAGCCTTGTTCAAATTTCTTTGTCTTATAAAGACAGTATTTGAGCCAGGTGGTGGTGTTGCATGCCTTTAATCCCAGCACTCAGGAGACAGAGGCAGGTGGATCTCTGAGTTCAAGGCCAGTTTGGTCTACAGAGTTCCACAAGAAGCCCTGCTTAGAAAAAAAAAAACTTTTATCCAAATGCAGTCATATTCTGGTATACTTAAGGTTAGGGCTTCAACATGGATGGAAAAGGGTTGCACAGATTATCTGCAACTAGAAAGAGGTGGGCTCAGTCATGCTTTCCCAAACCTTGGGGTTGCTTAAGTCTGAGGAGAACAGGACTGACATCAGGAAGTCTCCTAGTGAAGCTGAGGCAGGAAATAAACACGTGTGTATTTACACACACATAATACACAGGTCCGTATTGTACACGCACACATATGCACATGCACAAATACACACGCCTACGTATTGGTACACACACATATGCACAGGTGCGCACACATGTGTAAATGCACACACATACATGCACACGTACACACACCTACGGATAGGTATGCACATGTGCACACATGTACACACACATATTGTAAACATGTACAACACACACCAGGAGGGAAGTGAATATTACAAGTTCTGTCTGAGAAAGGGGATTTGGCAGCTGGCTCCTGGGTAGAAACAGAAGCAGACAAGTGAAAGTACCAAGCAATGAGTTAGGAGGGAGAGGTTATCTAAAATGGGGATAATTGCCTGAGGGGAGAACATGAAAGTCCAGGTTCGGGCAGGGTCTGAACGCTGTGTTCAGCAGACCCAGGTCTCAACCAAACGGCCAACTGTGTCCTCAGCTCAGGTAACCAAGACAGTAGGGGCATCTCAAGCCATGTGGGAAAGGGGTGGGGATGTCTCTTCCGGCTGTCACTATTGGTGAATGTCACCCTGCTAGGTATAGGGCACAGGATGGTTGGGTTTCTGGCCAGAGGGCTGTAGTGTCTCCAGTAGGTGCCACACGCCCGGCTGTCACAGGATTGTCAGTCTTTGCCTCGAGGCTGACAACAGGACAATGGCTCCCTAAAATATGACTCTGCTGGCTCCTGGGTAGAAACAGTCTGCTGCTGTTTACCCAGTGCCGCTTTGCCTCCAAGACCCCCTCTTCTTCGCCGAGATTTGCTTAGTCCCTGAGACCCTGTGTGCCACCAGCCTCCCAGTGTGCAGCCATTTTAATGCTACTCTGACTAAAACAGACCGCCCATCATGTTTCCTCTTGACATTTTGGCTGAGGGGTGTCTTTGGAAGTCAAGTGGGGTCTCCTGGCGTACCCACCAGCATTTCCAGATCTCAAACCTCTCCTGCCCTGTGTGTTCACAACCACTCAGCCTCACATACTTGTCTCATTCTATCTGCTCAGGTATGAAGCGGCCACTGAGCCCATCCCCCTCAAGTGAAAAGGAGCCCCCCACAACTGCAGCATCTGAGTGTCCCCCTCACTCTCCAGAATCATCGAAGCCTAAGCGGGAAAGGAAGCAACCTTCCTACACACTCTGCGATGTCTGCAACATCCAGCTGAACTCTGCTGCCCAGGCCCAGGTGCATTGTGGGGGACGCGCCCACCAGCGGAGGCTTCGGCAGCTCAGCCTGGGCAAGACCTCCACAGGGCCAGGTTAGTGTGGAGTGGCGCTGAGCTTAACACCCCTTCTATAATCTGGGTCTCTTTAAGGGATCCTGGGTCTGATACTGTCAGGTTTTATTTACAGAGCTGAGGTTGTAGCTCGGTGGCATGGCGCCTACCCCGAATGTGGTGTGGGTTCAGCCCCGCAAAAACCAAAGAAAGTTGAAAGTTTTGTTTTGCTTCTGGACAGCTTTCCACGGGATCTCAGGGGATGTGAGAGTCTTGAAGTCTCCTCTTGAGGTCTCTTCAGTTCTAGAAGCTCTCCCTGTGGGTGGTGAGGACATTCATAGCATTTCTTTAGTCTGGAGCATCAGGCAGGGACAGTCTCTCAGACAACCACCTCACTTTCAGAGTGTTCCAGACTCCTGCTTTTCTGGCTGGGGTCAGCACGGTGCACAGCACTGCAGCCAAGGAACAACAGGAGCTGCTCTTCCCGTGGCAGCTGGACTCCCAGCCGGGATTTCTGCCTCTCCCTGGCTGGGGTGACTTTGTAGGGGTTTAGCTGCCAATGCTGGAGGGGCAGCTGGCTGCCATGCAGTGTTCTGGGGGAGATGGGTGAATGCTTCTGTGAGAGTGATGCCTGCTGACAGGCACATGGGGGTCACAAGCTGCAGACTGGCAGGGAAGACAGATCCACACACAGGCCTAGGAGGGAGAGGCAGGGGGCATTGGTACCCCAGATCCTGGGGATGCCTTGGAGAAACCCACCTTGCAGCCCAGCTGGGTGGTTTTGCCAGAGGCTACCTTGAACCTTGAAAGTTCCTAATCATTGGGTGACATTTATACAGTGCCCCTTTAGCAAGATGGGAGTTGAGACACGCCTCCAGGCCACAAAGGCCTTGGAGGAAGAGGCTGATGAGCGTGACAGGTGAGGGACATTTCAGGCAGAGGTCGTATCCACAGTGAGTGACAGGAAGACTGTGGTAGTGGGGATTAACTCCTCCAAGTAGGCACTTAGAGTTGGACTCCCAAGGCTGTGACTGAGCAATTGGATGGACCCATATTTCTGGAGCATGTAGGACTGGGGTTCAAAGGTCATTCATTTAAGCTGGGTGGGTGTGCACATCTGGAATCAGGATGCTGAAGCAAGATGGATGTAAATCCAAGGCCAGCCTGAATTACATAGCAAGATTGTCTTTTTAAAAGTCATACAATTAGTCATCAAATATTTATTCATCAAATATGTGTACTTATCTGTGGAGGTTCAAGCTGCTGTTCAGAGAACTCGCTTTTTTGTTGTTGTTCAAGACAGAGTTTTCTCTGTGTAGCCCTGGCTGTCCTGGAACTTGCTTTGTAGACCAGGCTGGACTTTAACTCAGAGATCTGCCTGCCTCTGTTTCCTTAGTGCTGGGATTAAAGGTGTACATCATCACCACCCAGTTTTAGGTGAGGGGCTCACATTTTTAAGACTTTCAAATCTGAGAAGAAGAAGAAGAAGAAGAAGAAGAAGAAGAAGAAGAAGAAGAAGAAGAAGAAGAAGAAGAAGAAGAAGAAGAAGAAGAAAGCTGTCTAAATCATTCTACATAAAGATGAATTTATTCTCAGGTAGTAGTAGGCCTTGTAGAGGTGAGTGAAAAAAGTGTCAAGAGAACCCAGGAGAAAGCCAAGTCTGTTGACACAGGCCAGTAATCCCAGTTATTTGAAAGGCAGAGGCAAGAGGATCTCAAGTTTAAGGCTAGCCTGCACTAGAGGGTGAGTTCGAAGACAGCCTGGGCAACTTAGTGAGATCCTGTCTCCATATTAAAGTAATGAAGGTTCAGAGGTAGAGCACTTGCCTAGCCTGCATTAGGCTATGAGTCCAATCCCTGGGTACCAGAGGAAAAGAAGAAAAGGGGCCAGGGGAAGATACTAGAGAAGGGAACAGTGAATGAGCTGATGTGGGAAGCTCAAAAGCCATGACACCGATGTTGGTTCCTGGAGGTGAAAGGGTCTCACAGGCAGAATCACAGTTAGAGCTGGTACAGGCACCAAGAGCTCCTGGCCTTGCTGGGCAGTGGCCGGTGGAGCCTTGTGCAGGGTACAGGCTGAGCTTGGTTGAGGTAAGCTGGTAACCCCCACAGGGGTCTTCCTACCAGGTTAGCTTTGGCCTTTGATTCAGAGGTGACAGGCTTCACAGCAGCATTGTGACATCTTTCAGATGTCTCCAGAGAAGGATAAGAATGAGACATAGAGATACACGGCCAAGAAAGAAATGGAGTAGGAAAACAGTTTCTGTAGGCTTTTGTGTAGGAGAACTATCAAGGTTTGGTGACCGATGGGCTTTAGGGAGCAAGGGAAAGGGAGGAGGCATGGATGACTTCAGCTAGGCAGGCTCTTGGGGAGGGGAGAGTAGGGCAGTTCAAGTCATTAGAAAGAGGAACCAAAAGGAGAAGAGAGCCTGTGTTGGTGGGGATGGTTTGGGGAATCTCAAAATTAAAAGTCACCAATAAATGGATGCCTAGCACCCCACTCCAGACTGTTAAATTTTAGGCCAGTTAAGTCACCAAGTATCCAGGGTGTGTCAAGAAATCAGAGGCCCTAGGCAGACCCAATGCAAGATGCTGAGATACCCTCAGAGGGATGCTTGGTGCCTACCTTTGGGCACTTACAGCTGGGCAGGGGAAGCAGATATGGGACCAGACCTTCCCATTGGCCATGCTAAGAGGCATGACCAGCATCTTGGGAATCAAAGGGAATGATAGCTATGCTAGGGCCAGGACTGAGGCTCGGATTTCTAGTAACCCTGTTTTTTGGAAGCTCCAGTGGTTAACTCTGGGCCTTCACTGGGCCTTGGCCTTAGGTATGTCTCCCTGAATAGGCAGATGCTAGCTAGCTGCTGCCCAAAGCGGAAGTCAGATGGGACAAGAAAAGCCATAGGGCTTTCAGTCCTGCTGAAAACGGGTTCTAGCCTGGTATAGGACCAGACTGGGGCTGCTGGAGCTCCCTAGGGACATAGAGAAGTCCCCCCTAGTTCAGGGAAGATGGAGTGGGGGCAGTCTGCAAGGAGCCCTCAACAAGCTGCTAAATTCCTCACACCCACGGTCTGAGATGCCACACAGGGAGGCGAGGGCCTTGTCTCTAGTAGCCACAGCTGTCACTTTGATTAGGGTCCTCTGGGGCTAAAGGCTTCCCTAGTGACAGGCAGGCAGTGAAGCCAGGAAGTTCTCCTGCTCACCTTCCTGAGGTGGTGTGTAAGGGGAGCTATAAAGGTGGGTGTGGGGCTGGAGAGATGGCTCAGAGGTTAAGAGCACCGACTGCTCTTCCAGAGGTCCTGAGTTCAAGTCCCAGCAACCACATGGTGGCTCACAGCCATCCGTTATGAGATCTGGTGCCCTCTTCTGGTGTGCAGATATACATGGAAGCAGAATGTTGTATACATATTAAATAAATAAATAAATCTTAAAAAAAAAGGTGGGTGTGGCCTTTCCCTCCTCAGGCTTCCTCCCTGGCTCAGGTCAGAGGCTTCCTTTCTTAGGTCTCACAGCCAAACCTGGGTTACACATCTCCATCTCCACCTCTTGCTACTCCCCACAAGACTCCATATCTGTCGCCTCACCTGTCTACCACCCAGGAAGCCCTTTCAGTCTGTAGGAATATGTCCTGGGCTATCCTTTACTCCCTCACCCTGCTCTCAGGGGAGAGGGATGTGGGCACCAGGAACCTCCAGGAGTGAGGCTGAAGCTAGTAACCCTACTCACCATGCAGAGACACCACCCTAAACCACTTGAATCATTCTTCAACATCTGCAGACACACAGGTGTAGGTGCAACTTCCTGGCTTGCATCCGGATGTTGGTGCAGCACAGTGAGTTGGGATACCTACATGAGGAGCTGTGGCCTTCCACTGCTTGATAGAGCATTACTATAGAGCCAAACTGCTCACAAAGCAGGTAGACACCCAGCAGGTAGCCCCCAATCCCGACCCAGTGGATGGATGCTCAGTTGGAGCTCTCTCTACACACGGGATTATGGGGTCTCAGAGAGAACAGCATACCCATATCTCACACTCTTACCTTGCTGAAGAGAGTGGCCAATACGTGCCATGGTGGCATATGCCTGTTGTCCCAACACTTGGGAGGCAAGGATAAGAGGGTTACCAAGAGTTCAAAGCCTGGTAGATGCAGATAGAGAGCTTCAGGCTAGCCAGGGCTATATAGTAAAAACCTTGTTGAGAGACAAAGAGAGGGAGACAGAGACAGAGCAAGACACACACACACCAACACATACACACACACACACACACACACACACACAGAGAGAGAGAGAGAGAGGGAGAGAGAGAGAGAGAGAGATCGCACCATGGTGTTTGAGAATGGGAAAGGGGTTGGCCTGAGAAAGTAGGGCCAGCAAGATGATTATTCAGGTGCTAAGACCTCAGGCCACACCTCTGTTCTGTGTTTCCTTGACTTAAAGTGGCAACCAGGCCAAGCATTATGGTCATACATGCCTTTAATTCCAGCACTCAGGAGGCAGAGGCAGGTGAATCTCTCTGTGAGTTCAAGGCCAGCCTGGTCTAGGACAGCTAGGGCTACATAGTGAGACCTTGTCTTCTAGATGGCTAATGAATGGTAACTTCCTAAAGCCAGCCACTTCCTCTCTGACTCTGGATACAGTTAATGGCACTGTCTAATGTAGGATGAGCCCAGGCCTTTTCCCTCATCATCCACCGGGCACATTGTAACAGAAACCTGAAGGAGCAGGAAGGAACTTCAGAAATGCCTTACGCTCTGGCTTTCTGAAGTGGCTAGAGGACCCTGGAGGGAGGATGTGAGATAGACACTGGGAGGGACAGGCAGACAGAGACCAGATTAAGACAAAGATGACTGCAGTTATGGCAGCCATGGCGCTCCCTGCCCCTCACAACACGCTGGAGCTCCCCCAACCCTCTTTCTCCTCTCCAACTTTGATCTTTGAAGCCTCTGGCTGTACCCTGAGCTCTGGAAATCAAAGACGTCATGCGTCATGGTCATGCTCGAGTCACTGGCTTGATAGCTCCTTACCCACTGTTCCCCA